AAAGAAAAAAGTCACCCCCCCTCCCCCAGGGTCTTTAGAGTAATACCGCTGTCTGTCCCCTGGAGGTTATCCTAAACCATTTTCTAGGGGAGAAATACTGGCTCAGGTAAAGGCAGCCCCCCGTCGGGTAAAATCCCATAATGCCTGTCCCAAGGCCGAATAAACATGGCTCTGTGCCTTGTTCCTCTCATGGTCTGGTTGAGTCTAGTATTTCTGTGGTAAAGGCACCTCATATACTCTTATGTCCTACGGAATCGAAAATCTATCCTACGGAATCGAGATTTTCCCTTAAGTATTAAGTCTATCGAGAATCTGTCCTACGGAATCGAGATTATTCAACTACTTAAGTATAAGGTCAGCCTATCGATAATCTGTCCTACGGAATCGATAAAGTTGGTCATCAGGTAGCTACGAATCGAGAATCTGTCCTTTAGGTCAGCCTAAAGTATCGAGAATAGTGTCCTGTTGGTCAGCCTATCGATAATCTGTCCTACGGAATCGAGAATCTGTCCTGTTGGTCAGCCTATCGAGCGAGAAGCTATCCAAGTAGTCCTATTTCAAAAAGAAAGTAAGGGCATAAGCAGAGAGAAAATCCCGAGTATTACTCTATCAATAGATGATAAAAGAAAAATGAAATTGTTATTTGACAGATTGAGAGTTAATCACACTAGAAATGATATATATTACACAGGTAATGGTGGAATGCTGCCGGAAAGCTATCGTTTCGGAAAAAAGGATACGTTCTCTAAGCGTAGAGGTCTGAATTTGCGAAGGTCAATTCCTAAGCCAATCCAGCCTTTGACTTATACTCCCCCCACAAATAATCCGAATTCTCATGTAAATAAGGATGAATTGCTTAATAGTTTTCCTATTTTAAGTCTACCTGTGAATAGTTTCCCTCTTACTGATTTAAAAGAAAGTCTGATTGTTGAACAACTTAAAGTTCAATCAGCTAAAGATGCTATTCTGGCGTTATATTTCCGTTTTTTTCCAGAGCATACTCGTTTCCAAAGATATGAATTTCTAATGAGCAATTCAGCGAAGAAAATGTTAATGTATGTCTTTCAATCTCTCGGGTTATCAAAAATGTTACGTTTTTCAACCCCAGATTTGTTTGAAAATACCAGGTTCAAGGGTGGGTTGCACCATTGCTTAGATGTTCTCACCAGGACCCCGTATAAAAAAGTAATAGAATTTATAACATATTATAAAGGTATGTATGGGCGCTTAATCATATTTGTTAGCTTAGGGATTGGTTGTACTGTCTGGTACAACTTTATACCTGGAGTACCAGAAGTAGCACCTCCAGGAATCTTAGTACCGAGAGAGCTTCCGTATGATTCTTTCAAGGATGTTTCATTTGATATAGCCCCCTTTATGAAAATGAGTTATGTGGAGTATAAGTATATATCAGATCAAGTGTTATCCGCCTTTGATAATGTCTATCCGTTCAATGAAATCCATCTTCCTAGTGGTAACACTGCTGAAGGTAGCAATGCTAGGGTGGCCCTTGGTTTAGGGATCATAGTAGCAGCCTTTCTCGGAATGGGTATGATGTCATATTCATCTCCTCCTGATTTAGAATTAATAAGTACTTTGAAAGTTCAAGAATTACAAGAAATAATAGTAAAAAGATGAAAAACAAACAAGAAACAATTCAATCCAAATCTTCTTATAAGTTGACTATGATATGTGCAAGATCTTCTTATTATTCTACAATTTCTAGTTCGCTAGTTCAGCTATCAGAGGATATTGATTTTCTGTATAATGATTTAAAAAGCACTCAGAAATATAATCTATCTAAGAAAGAGTTATGTAATCTTCAACAGATATTGCTTTCAGGTTTTTACACTCTATCTCCGCTAAGGCTCAGGAGAATAAGTAGGGATGATCTACTAGAATTTTTATTTGCAACGCTACCTGATTTTCCTGACTTAACGTTTTATCCAAGCAGAGATAGTTCACACTATATAGTTGTTTTTCCATCAAAAAAGAGGATGTCTTGGTGTTCATGGCATTGAGTATCCATTTCTATCGTTTGACTTATGGTTATGTGCCCAAGGAGAATTACAGATTATTAGATAGGTTAGGTCTCTTTTATTCTGGTATTCAAAACATGGGTAAGGTGACTAGACTGTACCAGATTAACATGGATCCATCATTACAACTGATTCCTGAGAGTCTGGTTTTAGATGGTGTTAAGTCCTTTGTTGGGGCAGATTCGGTTTGTTATAAGCTGGTTAGTAGCTTTCTAAATCTCGAGACCTTTGATGAGGATGGTAGAAAGATATGCTTCGGTTGTATGCCAATTGTTGGAGAAATCACTAGGGTCTTATTCAATCTTACCTTAATGGAGTTCGACCGGCAGTTCAGCCATAAATATCCAGGGATTGCATTTGAAAGATTCATAGGTATGGTCTTTATAGCATGTACTGATGATCTAAGAATCGATGAATATCAAGTATTTGATATGATACAAGATCTCGGGCTGTCTTGTTCAATCGAGTATACAGAACCAGGGCTAGAGCCTCTCTATTGTCGCAATAGGATGGTTGCTCTGGACTATGAGGGTAAGGTTGTCGTGTACAATCCTACAGATTACTATCCTACAGATTATGGTTAGTAGGGAGGTTGACAACAATTTAAGATAGGGAAAAAACATGCCGGTGCATTTCCATAGTTTATTTACTAGCAGGAGAGAGGAAGAGTCGCTATCTATCTATCCATATACGTATCAACAAATGTGGATCGGTCGATTGCCCCTAACCAGCAGCGGCAAGGAGGAGAAGACTCTAGAGGTTTGTCCCAAGTCATGCGAACACTCGCTGTAATCATGCCCTACCCGATGACAACTCAAGATTGGCAAGCATGTCCATCCGACTACTCATGGAAGCTTTGAACTTCTCCATGCGAAGTGGGTCTCCTGAACTTTACTAGAAGTTTTTTGATGCACGAGGAATTCTCTGAGAAAGGATTGGTAAGTAAGCATTCAGTGTGATTGGGGATAGGTTGGCACTGAGAATCGTCCCTTACCAGTGCTATCAAGAATAAGGATCTTCTATGAGAAATCCATGAGAGTGACTGCCAACATGAATGAGTAGTACGATCAACTGTTCTTCTGAGAAGTGGGCAACTCATGGAGTTTAGGGATTGCATGCTTGGGATTACAACGAGATATCAGGACTTTTATGCAGTTCATTGAGTCTCCACTTTCTTGTACTAGCTGACTAAAGGCGAGCTACTTTTGAATTCTCTAATTAACTAAGCTCTATCCATAGATAGTGTTCCCACTGTAAAGAAATGCTAGCCCATGAATGAGGATCTATTTCCTTGGAGTCTTTGCCTTTAATAGTTTATAATATGATCTTACCAATTTGAAAGCGAGCTAGCGAAGTACCTCTTAGGAAAGCAGGTTATAACAAGCCAGTTGAAAAGTATGCTCTTGGGCTGTTTCCCTAGGAAGGAATATTGATAAGAGCTGGTGTTTTTCCTGCAAGTTTGAATGCCATTAAGCATTCCCCAGTGCTTATGCACCATCTAAAAGTCTCAGCTCCCTGTATAGTAAAACTATTAAGGTTACTTCTTTAATAAGCTTTTTCAAATTGTATAATAGCTAACCAACCGCTTAAAGCGGACTGCAACTGTACTTATTAGCTTTCCTCCAGCGATACTACAGATGGAATAGCTTCCCAGGCATTAGAGGATAAGCTTGACTTAGATTCAATTAATAGGGCATTTGCCCCGTCACTTGAATAAGCGGCAACCCCTTAGTGGCACAAGCCTCCTTTCCGGAGCTGTAAAGGAACTTCATTCCCATCTATTCGGCTCCTACCCGCTCCGACCAGGGGTTACCAATTCGTTATCAACGGCTTTCTTACAAGAAAATGTTATATCATGGGCTTGAGGTATCACCGTATAGATTTCCCTGTTTGGTACACATAGCTTTTCCTATCTCTCTTTTTAGCATTCCTTCTCTATAGCCTGTGTCTATCTTCTGTCAATTCCTATTCTCTATCTGGTCTAATCGGCTAAGTCTTCTATCTCTTTCGATGTAGTCGATGTCGGACTAGGAAAGCCAGTAAGGTCAAGTGTATTGAAGTTCTACCAATTCACTTACTAAGGAGCGTAACGAGCAAAATCTAAGGAGCTATAGTGTTGTTTCAGTTTCAGCCTTAGATTCTTTCTTTTTAGCATTCCTTATTAATCCTTTTTTAGGGAGATGTTGAGACTTTCAGGCTAGTAACAAAGTACCTTTCTAGGTGTAAGGATGCAGGTAAGAGAATCAATCTTAGCTGCTGTACATGTAGTAGCAGCATCCAGTCTAGCCTTGGTCTAATTCCTACTTAAAGGAGGGGTCTTATTCACTGTATGCGCATTCCCTGTATTCTATGTCCGACTATTCCACCTGAACCATATTAGTCAAGGGAGTAGGGCAGTCTTAGTGAAATTACCCTGGGGAAGATCTTATTAGCTCCTATTGATTCTAGGTTATATGCCGACAGTTCTATTGACAGCGTAGGATTTGACGATCGTAGTATGATTGATTCCCGACCGGGGAAGACTTCTTATATAATAGAAGGGAAAGCAAGCTAATTCCAATGATTCGAGATCTGGATAATGCATTGAGCAAAGCTGCTGAAATAGGACCGCTTGTCAGCCTACTCCTCCATTTATAGATTTCTATTCTATAATAGAAGAAATAAAGCCTCGAGCTATTAATTACTATGAGAGCTAAGCTACTCTTTTTGCTTAAGAAAGATGGTCATAAAACGAGATCTTTCATCAGCTAGGCCTGACCTGGTGACATACTCCAGATGAGTGGCCAATCCCTGGAAGATCCTGATTCTGATTCAGTAGTATGCCATATTGGAATGAAAGGAAAGTAAGCTGCTTCACGACCCTTTCACTTTATTAGCTTTTAGGCCATGCAGAAGGAGCTAGCTCGACCATTTACTGAGCTCTTTTCGAAATGGTAAGACTTTCCTGCTATATGAGAATGAACTCATTTCAAATGCTTCGCCTCTCTCCCATTGTTCCTTCCTCCTTCGTGCCCGATCCGGTCAGTAGGCGTCAGTGAAGTGAATGCTGTATGCTAAGAGGGGAAATGCCGACATCTAGCACATAGAAGAGCGGATTCGCTTCCTATTCCGATGAGATGTCAGTTCCTTTCGTGCAACCTGCTCTTGCATATGCCTCTTATTCCTCGTACAAAAACCTATTTCATTGCCTGAATGGCACCGGCTCGATAAGGCAGATCTGTGGGAAGACGTCGAAGCGGGTTTAGAATCAATCCCATCCGCCCCGGGGGAAATAATAGGTCAATCAGGTTCATCCCTCTTGCCAATACTAGTAGTCTTAGAAGGAGTTGCAACCTAAAGGGCTATTCCTGTGATTCCTAAGAACTTACCTCTCGCAAGGAACATCACTTTCGTATAGTTGAAAAACTCCCTTTTATTTCAAAATTGAATTCGTAACCACTGCTATCTCATGGAATAGGAATAAGCGCCGCTAGTCTTTCTTTTCTTTTACAGACTCCGAAATTGACTTCTTTCCGGCTAGCTGGAAGGCAAGAGCGCTATAAGAGGTCTTGAGGGTCGAAGGATGAAGGTCCGAGGCTACTGGTGGCCAAGCTTCTAAGTACTTAGCCAACGGATACGAATTCGAAAAAACGGTCAATCTCCGAAAGGCCTTTGCAGAGCTTTAGGGGGAATACTTTTGTGGTCTTTCACCTTCTTCCTTTTGACTGGCCAATATCTTTGAATCAGGGCTTTCGCTATTCCCACAGTCCCGTCGGTCTATCTCATATTCGCAGAAGAAGGAACTTGCTTAATGCCATGCCGGAAGTGTAATTAAGTAGGCGGTTGGTCGTATAAAAGTCTTTGAAGTAAGGTTCAATGCTTAGCGTTTAGTTAGGATATTTTTCATACGAGTATGCCCTTATCCCGTAAGCCTGCCATCGTTGGAAGCCCCTTCCATTCGGCCCAAGCTTTCTTTCGATTACGTCTGCTTCCTAAAAACCTTAGTTAGTCGTTTAGTCAAAGCCGTACGTATGCCCCTTTCGAATCGTTCTATCATTCGAAGTAGGAGCAGGGGTAGCGGGCAGAGAATGGTATAGCGAGTTCATGTGCTTGCAGTTGGTTTACTACCATCCCCCTAACCTTTAGTCTCTGTGAAGTGTCTCTCAGGTATTGGGAGAACATCATGCCCCTTAGCTCGCTTGTATCGGATCAAGGGGGGAGCTTACTTCACTTGTTTTCTTTAAGTAACATGCCAGGAAAGCAGCTGATAAAGAGCGCCATCACCTTACTTAAGAAAGGGCTTATGCGAAAGAGAATCCGCTTTCCTTGTTTTTTTGCTTATTCCTAGCCAGAGAAATGAAACTAATCTCGAGATCCAGAAACCTATCTATACGCCTAGCATTAAGATAAAGAAATATCGTTAGCCCTACTACTTTTATTGAAAGGAAGAACTTAGGACTTTGGGACTTACCCTAGCATTCCAATTGAAACTCAAGGAGATGGAACTAAACTGGCAATTTTCCTCTTTCTAGGTGACTAGAGGGAATGCTACTACAGATACAGCAACTCAATCCCGAGAGAAAAGATTTGTGAGGTAAGGTCTATAGACTGTAAGGCTGAAGGCTTGAATGGAAGAGCACTCCTACTTACTTTTGGGATAAATCCTAGACACCTTTGACACCTGATCTCCGGTAGGACTCTTATTTGATAGGCATTAGGGGATTTTAGGTTTTGGGGTTTCACTTGCAGACCCTGCATCCATAAGTCTCCTATCCTAAGTGTCTTTCTCTGCATGAATAAAGTTCTTCGACAGGACCATCCCGACCGAGGGCTAATCATAGATCTACTATGGTATTTTCTTCTTTTCTTGCCAGTATTAGGTTTCTTCACCTTCTTCTTAATGTCAGTATTAGGTATCTCGTCTATAGTAGGGTTAGTGCCCTCTGTAGGTTCTTCTTTCATCTCCTTGTCTCTCCCCTTTTTCATCTCTCTTTCCTTATGAGATAATTTATCATGGAGAAAGAGATTCTCTTTCTTAAGATGTGTTACATCATCCCTTAGCAACATGACTAGTTTTTTGCTAATGTTATCTAATCTAGACAGGTCTTTGACATCAACAGGCTTTGTATCAACCCAGTACTCCCCCTCATAGACTTTTCTCCTCTTAGGCTTTGGAGTAAGCCCAACATTGACATTTATGTCTTTCTTGAAGATGTTAAGTGAGGACCACTCAATCCTGAAGTTGGCTTCCACCGCTACTTGTAGCTTACGATCAGGGTCAGCGTACTGTGAAAGAAACCATTCTGGAGTGATTTCCTTATTCGCAAGCCCTTTGTACTTGACAGTATCCTTTCCTTTCTCATTCCATAAGTAATAGGCCTTCGGAGCTAAAAAGTATCCTTTAACTATTCTGTCCTCTAGCTTAAACAGACCTAAGATAGAAGATGAAATCAATTCTTCAGGTAGTGGCTTACTTAGCACAACTGAGTCAGTGTCCGTGTAGTAACAGTCCTCTCTCGAGGTGTAGGGGTACATATAGATCCTAGCATTGGCTGTGATTGCAGCAGCAAGTTGGACAGCAGAGTTCTTCGGTGGATCCCAATAA